CGTTCGAGGCTGAAGCCAATAGTTATATTACAAATATTTACGATTGAATTATCCATAGAATTCAGAGCTTGAACGAGTGAATTCTTAATTAATATTAAGGAGATGAGTTCATAACATTCTTTCAATTTCTATTTTAGTAATGCAGGCAAGGCAGAGGTCAAGCTTTGAACAGCTTTCTGTGCTGATTCAGTTTATGGAAAGGTAATATTACTTGTATAATTGGTATTACAGTGACTTAAATCCACTCATGTTGTCACAAACAATGACTGGGTACATGCAAATATTATAGTAATAATAATAAAGGTTTATAATTTAGCCAGCCATGGGGACCTGTCAAAGCCGCGTCCAGGGCCTCAAGGCCGAATAAATAGTGAGCAACTCTGGCTGGAGCTTACCAATATTTTAAATTCCATGGGTGGTGGTGTCCAGAAAACAGCAGATAAATGGAAGAAATTAATTCACCTATTTACATATGTTTTACATTATCACTAGGTATTTGTATCATTATATTATTTATTTGATTACACCGTCACAACGGTTAGAAAGTAATTACAGTTACTGAAAACACAAAATAATAAGCTATAAAATATTAAACTAAAACAAAACATATTATATACATTACACACAAAGGAAAAGAAAAGTACAAACTTAGTTAAAACTGGTTTAGGTAATTCATAAGTTCCTCTCGCTGTATTTCAGGCATTCCGATATTGTAATAAACAAACATAGTAACATAGTAATTATGTATAACAATTAATGAGTAATTATTGCTAATTAATAAGTAATATATTAGTATGTAATACATCTAAATGTTTGCTTTTATTTAGGTCTGGACAGACTGGAAAACAAAAACAAAAAAGAAATATTTGCATATAAGGCAGCAAAGCAGTGGCACAGGTGGTGGTCCAAACACACACATTCAATTAACTGCCATAGAAGAAAGGGTGATGGCAGTTATTGGAGTGTCTGCTGTAGTTGGTTTGGCTGGCATCCAGGAGCAAGGATTTAATGTTAGTTTAAATTTTTTGTAAATATTTATTACTTGTTATATCTAGTCACTAATTTCTACTAATAGAGATATATAAGTAAATCTATCTATTAAACTTAAAAAAACTCTCTTATGCAGAGAAGGCTAATATTATAGCCACGGACTGTCACAGGTTGATGGTGATGATGATAATGATATCATTATAAAGTATCTATAGGTATAGATGCTTTCAGAAAGAAA